ACGCATTAAATAAAGCATCTTTGAAAATGTAATTAAAGTATGCAAATGCTTTTTAGATTATTATTTACAGATTTAATTGAAGAGCAATTCTTCATGATAACTCACCTGCCTATATTTTAGGTTTCCGATCTTATCTGTACGATAAAGAGTAGAAAACTCATCTGTCCCTTTAGTTCCTGTGATCTGGCATTTAGGAATTGCTTTAACAGACGGTCCTAGTTTAAAGCACCAAGTCTGCTGATGAACTCAGTTCAGGTAGGTTTAGAAGCACCCCAGCAAGGATTGGCCGGGATTGGGTCCCTCTGATGCCTTGAGTTCAAGCTTTGATTCTGAGAATCATCCCCTTACTATTCAGGGATGATGTCCAAATCAGGTTAGATCAGTGCAATGTTTCAAGTCCCCTCTGCAACACGTAGGCAGTTTTAAGCCTTGCTACTAGAGAAGGGAAGGTTGCTTATTGAACAAGAACAGGGGCAGGGAACTTAAAAAAAAAAATCATTCTCTGGGAACATTTGTTTGTTTTGAAAAACAGAATAATTTTGGATTATGAAATATATTTTCATTTAGAATCATTAACAAAATGTTTAAGACAAGATGTTCATATTGGGGGCCTTTATGACCCCCCCCGATTTCTTAATTCGATGTAATAAGAATTTTATAGAAAGATGAAAGACATCTGAAAATGTTAAAGCCACAGAAGGTGGCATGTTTTAATCTTCTCTGTAAGTTTCCCACCAGAATTATTTTTCCTATTCCTTATGAAGCTTGTTGACCTAATGTATCTTTTACCAGCAGACATTAAAGGGTGCTCCAAGTTAAGCAAAGAATTCTAACGTTACTAGAACTATTATTTTATAATATGAGATGAAAACGTTCATTCTTGATCGTTTGAACTTTGCTCCACAGAGTCTTAAGTTTCTGGGCTTGTAGTAGTAGTAATTTGCACCATGTGGTTCTAAAATCCACATGTGGGAGAGGCAAAATACATTCTCTTGATCACCGCCAGCACATGCGATGAGAGAATACCAAGCATGTTCTTTTTTATAGAGGTTCCTTGTGTTTTTGTGGTTGTAGACCAGTCTGGGTGGTCCAGCACTGGAGAATCCTCAGCCCAGTAGACATCCAGCCGTGTCCTTGGCATGTTCCTGCCTGTCATGATCCTATCCAACATTGTAAGCCTGATTGATCTCCAACAGGGGAAGTTCAACCCACAGGTGAGCTTATCAAGGGGTACCAATCAACCTAATCATAAGTGCCATTATCGCTTCATTGGAATAGCTCTTCCTGCCCCTTTGAAGGAGGCTGTGATTATGCCAAAGAAGTCAACACTTGCAAATTATGACTCTGTGTCACCTTCATTTATCTGGGTAATGGGGTCAACCACATAGTGGGAGGTCTGCTACAGTCATTCTTTGGTGATGGCGTTTATCTTGATCCTTATCAATCTAGTTGCCCAGCTCATTTTGGTAATGAAATGGTCTTCACTTCAGTGATAGATGGCATGCCCTGCAAGAGGCTGGCCCTGTTTAAGTCTGCTGGAGTTTCCTACAACCCAGCCTTGAGAACTATTGATTAGGGTGTCCTTATGGACCACTTGTGTGCAGACTGGGGGTCAGTGGAACATCATTTCCATCCTTGGTTCCTCTGTTACAGCTAAGTACCAGAAAAGAAATGATTCTGCTTGCAGAGTATGTCTGAATGAGGTTTGATTTTGTCACCCCTGTTATGTTTTCCTACTGTTTTCATTCATTCATTCATTTATTTATTTATTAAAACATTTCTATGCCGCCCCATTCACCGAAGCCTCGGGGCGGCTCACAACATAAATTAAAATACAACAAATAACAATATAAAAGAAGTCGCCCTGGCCAGATAAATAAGCAAATGCTGTTAACAATTAAAATGCCGCTTAAATAAAAAGGTCTTCGCCTGGCGCCGAAAAACAAATAACGACGGCGCCAGGCGGACCTCTCTGGGGAGCGCATTCCATAGATTGGGCGCCACTGCAGAGAAAGCCCTCCTCCGAGTACCTACCCTCCTAATTTCTTTCACGGAGGGTTCCCGGAGAAGGGCCTCTCCCACAGATCTCAAGGGGCGGGCGGGCGTATATGGATGTAAGCGCTCCTTCAGGTAACCTTATATATTGTACAGGAATCCTAATCTAGTCCCGTAGGGTGACATAGAAAGAATATTCCAACATAAATGCTAATGTTGGATGTTATCAAGGCAGAGGTGCTATTTTAATGCATCCATGCTTTCTCTTGTACTGGAGTTCTGGTGTCCTCCTATATAAAGACAACCGAACCAACCCAACCCCCAAAAATATTGGAGGAGAGGAAATAGGCCAATTATAAAATTAATTAGAATTGTTTATATTTTTGCATATATCAGCAAAATAAATGTTTTCTTTCACCAAACATAAAACCAGCATTATGAAATTGTGAAGGACGGTATATAAAAGCCTAAAATAAAATAAAACACTTTTTGGGGAATGAAACCTGAATGGTAACAGTGGATGGAGCAGAGCTGAAGGAATAATGCATTTATTTAGCACTGTTACTCCACTGTTTACTTCCAGAAGAGTTTCAGTGTGGCTTACAAAGGTCTGCAAAGATCAAAGCAGCACACCCTATGGGCCACTAGCCGGTCTAGATGGCTACAGGACTTTTCCGAGATACAACTACGGGGCTGGAAAGAGAGCCCTCCCCTTTCTTTGCAGCCAGGAAGAAAGAATTGCAACTAGGGGGTTTTCCAGGGGGCAAGGAGAGGAGGCCCAAACAGGAATAAAATGTCATTGCAACCTCATTTGATTGGAACCCACTGACCACTTTATTTAACAATACAGAATGTAAGAATATGCCCGGTGTCACTGAGATGATAACCTTGCCCACAGGTGGTGCAATTTTCAACTCATGCTGCACATTAAGGCTTGCATGAGCATGATTCGCAAGCACCGGTTCGACTACACTGGTTGGGATGCAGTGCGATGCAACAATGCAACCGGAAGGATGCCCCAGCGAAGAAGCAAAGAGGCTGAGATCCCACTGGAACGCATCTTCCTCGGTGGCAGGAGTCCTCTTCCCTCTGCACCCTCCTCCGTGCCCCCAAACCCTTCTCCGAGGGGCCTCTTACAATGCACAGTCCTGAAAATTTAACGCACAGCAGCAGTTGGATGGTTCTGCAGGGTTTGCTTGGCCGGCTGCCACAGGCATGTTCTCTTTGAGTTTGATTATCCTGTTATCTTGTTTGTGCATCATCTTAACCAGCAGCCAGACCAAGGAACAATTTGTGTGCATTCAGTAATCATTAAATAGTACAGCTGCAATCCAAGGGTCCCGGTGTGGCCTGAGGGGAGCCTGGGGGCTAGGAACTGGGACTCCAAGGGCCGAGTCCCCACCCTGCCCCTCACAGCCAGTGCAGAAGCAACCATGCCCAGCTGCCCTCCAAGGGCTCAACTGGGCATCAGAGGAGGAGAACAGGGTGAGCCTGGGGACAGGGAAAGGCGAGGCTGATTGCAATTGGTACCCCAGCCTCCCTCCCTCCCTTCGCCAGTGCTAAATCTAGAGGGCCAAAAGCAGCTGTCCAGGGAAAACACACCTCTCACACCTTGCACTGGACACTTGTGAGTCTCCAAGTTCAGGGCATCTGCCACGGTGGCAAGTGGATTGCATGCTAAATGTATTGAACTCTAAGGATTGCGCTACTTTCCTGCAAGGGAGTAAGAGGGCTGCCTCTCTCAAGAAAGGCATGCAGGAGATGCTTTGACTCCCTGCATCTTAGACCTGTAATTTAAAAATAAAAATAGAGCCCACCCTTTCAAAAACCACTCATGTTCAATTTCCAGTACAGGTTTTAATTTCATTTTGTTACTAAAGTGCTTGGATGTTTTCAGGCATGAAGGTTAAAGTATCCCTTGCTTCGATCAGGTCTGTAAAACAAAGCATACTTGGGCCAGAAAGTTTGTTCAAGGAGCAAAAGACAGTTCTCTGCTTTTTCTTCCAAAACAAGGGCATATCGTTTATGTGCACATGTAACAGCAACGGTCAGCTGCAAAGGGACCCTAAATAATCAAAGCACCATTCACATGTGGTGTCATTTCTGGTTTTATCAATATTCTGCAACATTAGGGTTACTCTCTGAATGCTACTTTGGAATTACACATTTATTTGTTTGTTTATTGGATGTATGTCCCAGCTTTTTTCTTACAAAGATCTCAAAGTAGCTTACATTATTCTCCTCCTCCTGCTTTCCATCTTATCCCCAAAACAACCCTGTGAGGTAGGTTGGGCTGAGGGTTGGCCCAAAGCCACCCAGGGGGCTGTCTCCATGGCTGAGCGGGGACTGGAGCCCAGATCTCCTGAGTTCCAGTCCCACGCTCTTAACCATGACACCACACTAACCTTCTCTCACCTTGTGGGTATATATACACCAACTTATATTGTCAGCCCAGTGAACACTGTGCTTCCAATACCCAACCAGAATACACCACCAAATCCACTGTCTACAGTTCCAGAGCTTTCTTTTTGACCCAGTAGTTTCCCTTGTAGTCTCTGAAAGACACGGGAGGAGAAATACCAAGTTTTATGCACTGCAAGAAACCAATACTAAACACTCACACGTAAAAGAGCAAAGGACCAAGAATTAGACTTGTTAGGCAAGGCTGAACTACTGTTTATCAAGTAGGTTAGATCTGCTTCAACATATTGTATGTTACAGAAGGTGAAGTTGTTGTATGTCATGAGAAGGCCAGACTCTGTGGAGAAGACCATCACAGCAAGGAAAGTCAAAGGCAGAAGAAGGAGAGGCAGACCAGCCGTGGGATGGATCAGTTCCATAAGGGAGGCCACATGGAGTTTGCAAGAGCTGAGCAGGGCTGTCTAGGAGAAGATATTCATGGTGTCACCATGGTGTCACCATAAGTCAGAGGCAACCTGGTAGCACATGACAACAAACAGGAGAAATGGTTAACTTGATGAATGGCCCGCTCTTGGCTTAATGGTTTATGACGTACTGTGGCGGGGAACTACACAGATCTTGTAAGGATGGGGATGCATGGTCAACCCTACTACGGGTTTCTTATTGATTTTTTTCACTCCTTTGGGCAGCTGAAACCTGAAGGTCCTGATCAGGCTGGTCAAGAAGATGAAGAGCTCAATCCTCGCCAGCTGCTCCCCTGGACACACACGAGCTCCTGCGAAGGAGGAAATAAGAGGAAAGCTGCATGTTAGTCATGGCCTATCATCCAGAGCACCCTCCCAGTCAGCAGCTAGTTCAGACGCCAAGGCAGTCCCCAGTGGCCCTCCAGAAACTCCCACGAAGTCTCAGCACTCTCTCTGTCTCCCTTTTAATATCTGGGTTGGCCTCTCTCGGGGATCAAGCTTTGATGCAGGGATACCAGAGGCTGGACCTGGCGCAGGAGCTGAGTGGCCTCCTGTAGAAGTAAAGAACCTACTTTCTCATCATCCGTAAGATGCATGAATGGTCTGAAGAAAGCTGATTGAAGTGAGCAGTATCCAACAGGGCTACTTCACCTGCTGGTTGCACTGTGCTCACGGGGCCCTCCACTCGCACAACAGGGTTGTTGCTTTCCTAAAACAATAACCTCAGAAATGGTCCATTGGCAGCGTGGGGCAGGTTAGCAGAGCCCCCTTTGAGGAGCCCCACTGATCTTCCCCATTCATTTGAAGCTGATGCCGAGTAGGTTTGTGGCTTAGGGGTGCTCCTTCTATAAGCTGCCTTGAGTTCCTTGGAAGGGAAACAGGAGGGATATAAATCTAATAAATATATATCAATCATAAGCAAATTTCTTCATGTACCTGCACCAAATGGAAGAAATTCTTCTCTATTCACAAAATTCCCATCCTTGTCCAAAAAGTGATTTGGGTTGAACTCTTGAGGGGTCTCCCAATGCACAGGGTCAAGAAGGACAGACTGCAGGTCTGGAACAATAATGGATCCCTTCCAGGAAGAAAGAGATGACTCAGAATGTGCCTGGTATTTCCCTGGGACCCTCAATTCACTGCACCAACAGCCCACCCACCTTCCTATACTCCTGCCTGCTTGTAGAACTGAGAAATCCCACTGTCTTTCTTTAACAAATGCTGATGCTGTAGAGTTTTAACCTAAAAAGCACCACCCAGCTTGGAACCACCGATGTACCAATGGAACGTATCTCCCAGCCACAACCTATCCAGACGCTGTGGTGATGGTCTGGAGCCTGCCTCTGATTGGGAGGCTCATTTGGTAGCAACGTGGAGAAGGGCCTTTTCGGTGGTGGCCTCCAGTTATGGAACAAGCTGCCCACTGATGCCTGCTTGCCACCAGCTTTACTGCTTTTCAGTGCCAGGTTCCTCTACCACAAGGCATTTAATTATTTACTATTACACTGGGGCTTTCTTAGCCGCTTCAACAGGTCTTAGGATTTAATTTCTATAAGCTATTGTAGCTTTCATTTTATATTAAAAAATAACATGCAAATAAATAAACTTGGCTTTAAATTTTGTATAGTCCTCTTTTTATGATTATATAGCTGTCAGTGTTTTATATTGTATTCAGTTTGTTCTAAACCACGTAGAGAGCGTTGGCTATTGGGTGGTATAGAAATCAACTCCTTAATTAAACCTTGTGTGATATAATACATTTGTTTGGAAAGCAGGTGGGCCACAGGTGGACTTTTTTGCATAGCCATAATGATTCTAGATACCTTTGGGATGTGGAAGTCACACATGCCCACATCTGCTGTACTTTGCCTGGGAAGCCCAAATAGTAAGATATATTTTGCACGCTGAATCTCATGAATCACGGCATTGGTGTAGGGCAATTTCTTCCGATCTTGGTAGCAGATGGTGTGAGACGAACCAAATACATCTTCTATCTCCTTGTAGACCTTTTCTGAGGAAGATGGTGGACGAGAAAGGGTTTATTTTGGATACTCGATCTCAAGGCGGGCAATGACTAAGAGACATTCACTCCATTAATAAATGGTTCCATTAAATAAATCTGAATAACAATTCCCAGGGGGAAACCCTTGTTACTCTGTTGCAGCAAAAAACAATACAGAGTTTTAAGAACAAAAGAAATGCCATGCTGGATTTGGCCCATTCACAAACTGGCAACCAGCTGCCCAATGGATCCCTCAAGCAGGAGGGTGCAAGAGCTCTTCCGGCCATAAGGGTCAAAACGATGCACCTGGCCACTTACGGGAGACCTACTGGAAAGCTGAAAAAAGAAACACGCAAAAGAAAAAGGGAGTGTAGCCACCGAAACTTAGCAAAGCTTTGAGTACTCTCTGGATTGACCTTTCCATTGGTCCTAGTTCTGTCTTTCCTGCATGCAAGTGCATCGCCCTTCATACTTCAAAGAAGGAGAAAGAAGTAGGAGAGGCCTCTTATATGGCAAAAAAAGATACTAGGTTCACTCAGTAAGACTCATTTCTGGTAACCAGACATGCCTGAAAGGCAGGGTCCCTTCGTCCCCATTTCCTTCTTCCTTGCTCCATGGTCTTTGTGTTTCTCCAGCACCTGAATATCCCTGCTCCAGTAATGGAGATTCACAGGAAGGGTCAAACTCAGAATCCTCCCGTAGTTTCCCAGTGCTTATTGCCTGGAAGAATTGAGCTGCAAGGTGCCTTCCACCAAGTACTGCTAGGCACCCCCATCTGGATATATCCCGAACCTGATAGGAGTTTCCTGCACTGCTAAGGAGGACCTTCGCAGGTGCCATCCTGGCAGAGGGTTATCAAAATCTGCAGGGCCCCAGAGGACCTGTTCAGCAATGAAACTTCCTTCTTTCCCTTGCCCGAGTGCTAACCAGCTTCCACATCGTATACTTTCCAGCTTCCTTCTGAGTCAACTTGCGCAATTAGTTACAGATGGAATCACAGAGCAGTTCAGAACTCCTAAGGATCAACATGCTTCCTAGGGGATCTAGGACAGTTCTTGCTCCCACCAGGCAGGTCTCCCTCACCTTGGACATCTGGGTGAGCCATCAAGAGGAGCAGTGCCCATTGCAGAGTCGTGGCGGTCGTCTCTGTTCCTGCCACAAAGAGGTCCAGGATGCACTGAGCCAGGTTGGCTTCATTATAGGTGGAAGTCGGGTCATTCTTGCTCTGTTGTTGACAGTGAGAACAGTTAAATTTAATTCCTACTGCAGGCATTTCACTATTAGGAGCAATGCACCCCGCAAGGTATCAGCAATTCTGCACTGTTGAAAATAAGGTTAGCATTTGGAACAGCGACGTAGCTGACGAACAGGCATTGCAGCCATCAATGCACAGACATTTCAGCCACATGCTTCACACATTTGCCCAGGCAAAGCATTGCAGAACCATAGCGCAGGGAACCCAGGTTCAGTCTGGACACCAGGAAGCACTTCCTGACAGTCAGGACCCCGGGGGTATAGAATGGGCTTCCACAGGAGGTGGTTGAGGCCCCATTGGTGAGGGTGTTCAAGGAGAGGCTGGACATGCACATGGGAGGCATGTCATGAGCGGAGCCGGCTGGAGCCAGGGGTCAGACTAGATGGCCCAGGAGCCCCTTCTGACTCGCCCTGTTTCTATGGTTCTATATCCAACCAGACCATAAGCTGTCCCACTCTTGACTTTTCCTAGTGCTAAAGTGATAGTTTGCTTCATTTCTTGCAATCAGTGAGGGACCCAAGAAGTTACACACTTTCTGCAGGACATCACAAACACACACATACAAGCCGAGAGGAATTCTGCAGATGCTCTTGGAATGGAAGTTGCCCAACAGGCAACCTTCTTCTGCTCCCAACGCCACCTCAAGTGTGGCTCAAAGACCACAGGGACCCTGCTTGCACAGCAGTTGTGTGGGGTTTGTTACCTGGTGAGGGCTGCACCCACACTGGGCACACCCCCCAGACTCACAACCATAACAAAGCAGAGCAGAGTCCAGGGATTTGGCCCAAGGAATCTGAGAGATTTGCCGCAGCCCCAAATGGATTCCTCATGCTTCCCTGGCCAGCACTTCTTCCGTAGCAGGAATGCCGAAGTCTCCCGCATCAGAATTCACTGCCCTCTCTAAGCTGGGTGAGAATCCTCACAATAGTTGTTAGAAAATGAATCCCACTGGCCAGCTTAGACTGTTCCCTGTTGTAATGCAAATTATTTTAGGGTGACTTGGTCTGGAATGGATAATTAAGACCCTTTTGCCATACCAAAGACCTGCTCCTGATGGAGATGGAAATGGCTGGAACTGGTTTCTTGGTATGGATCAACATGGCAGCCTGAACTGCTGTGCTTCTCCTTGGGGGTATTAGGATGAGTGTCCGCCCTTCAAAATTCATCCCAACGCCCTTGGGCATTCCAAGCCATGCCATTCATGATCCATTTTTGTGGCTGATTATTCAGGGACGTTCTGCATGTGCCTGAATGCTAATATCATCAAAGACTCACAAAATCTTCTTAGCGGCCCTGCAGAAATCATTGCTCAGTCACAGCAGGTGATGGAACAATAAGAGATTGGTGAGGATATTATTTGAGTCATGTTTGTATAAGATTTTAACAAAATTCTCAAATTTCTTCATAAACAGAATGGAACAAACTTGAGCATTTAAAATAATAGTAATAATATAAGGGAGAAAGTGAATCAGACAGATTTCAACAAGGGGTTTTAAGTGGGTATCTCTTGAAGTCCTGGGTTTCTGTCCTGGCCTGTCTAACTTTACTGTGTTGCCACAGAATTTGGTTGCCACCTCTCTCTGTTTTGGCAGCCTCTTCATCTGTTGAAGCCTCGTCTCAGGTGGGTACAGAAAGTTTCTCTCCATGGCAGAAATATCAGTGCCATTCCACTGAATTGGGCAGATTCAGAGCAGTGAAAATTGAATTGGTTTCACCATCTGCCATAAGCTTACCAAACTTTCTACATGTCTTCATAAACAACACAGAAAGAATTTGAGATTGTAAAGTAATTGGATGTGGGAGAAAAGTGAAATGTATAGATTCATCAATCGGAAGTCATGATTTTTGGAACAAGTGGTTGTCACCTGTAAGGCAGATATTACCTTTTCCATCTGTAGTAGATAGAAATCAATGAAATCCTGTGGATCATGCATATTTTGATTCTTCTTATGTCTTTCAATCTCCTTATTCGCAAATGTAATCACAGTCTGTATAGCAGAGATCGCTGTATTGTGAGGCCCGGGGAGATGTTTCATGATGAATGGGAAAATTTCATAGAGCTATAGGAAATAAAAACACAACTGGTCACAACTGCAAAGAAGTTTGGTAACACGGCCTGTGAGTCGACACCGCTGAGTTTCTAACTCAGCAACATGTTTTGGCAAATTTTTGAGGAGTGGGGATATTTGGCATGGGGTAAGGTCCGCAACGGTCCTTGTCTCCTAAGGACAAATAGGTGTGACCTTAGGGGGAAGGATCCTCTCAAAACACACACACACAGACTTCAGAATATATGTCCATTGCTATATACTAATCTGTGAATTTTTTCAGGGTATCCGCCTGAGCCCTGAGTCTTTTCTCTAGCTAGCACTGAGCCTTCTCTTTTCATTAAAAGGTGGAGTGAAACAGCATGATTTTGACAGCCACCAGCAGTACCAAAAAGGGCCAATAATGAATCCTATTGGCTGGGAGAGAAGCCAGAAAGAGGGCGGCAGTATCTGGCCTGACCAATCACCTCAGACTTTAGGCAGTGTTTGCTCAACGAGGTATCTCAGTCCCAGAAAAGTCCCTGTTGCAGAGCTGAAGTGCAAGTTGGGCTCCCATGATGCACTGCTGGACACGCCCCCTGCTCCTGTGAGCCTTCCCGGATGTAGTTGCCTGGCCCGAGTTTATATTCTTTTCGGCACCAGATCAAAATCTTTTTATTTAATCACTATTTTTAAAAATTAATATTTTAATTGTGTCGAACAGTCGCTTTGATTTTTCCTTTATGTAAAGTTTTATTGAATTATGTTATTTATACTTCTGATTTTATTGTATTTCAATTTTATGGATTGTTAGCTGTCCCAAGATGCCAAGGCATAAGGGACGGCATACAAAAGTTTTAAATAAATAAATAAATAAATAAATAAATAAATAAGTTAGATAATGCACTAGTACTAGCAATGCAATGCAGCCACGACCCTCGTTTCAGGCTCCGTCATCCTCGGCTCCCACACTGCGGCCCTCGATGAAGTGAAGCGGTTACGAAGTTTGTTCGTCAAGCACAATTTAAAATGCTCCATCTCCGTATAGACTGGAATGGTTTGAAGAACGTGCTATGACCAGAATCAGTAAGTAACAACCCTTTGCAGCTCTTTTAGGATAGGCTGGACATGCACATGGTGGGCATGTCATGAGCAGAGCCGGCTGGAGTCGGGGGTCAGACTAGATGCCCCGGGAGACCCCTTCTGACTCGCTCTGTTTCTATGTTTCTGCAGCCAGTTGGTGCACTGTAAGTGGAAGGTTTGCTGACTCACTCCGTGGAAGAAGCTCCCTCCGAAGGTCACGGCAATCTGAACAGCATCGATCAATTTCAGGAATTCTTCATCTTCCAAGGAAAACCGGTGTCCGAAGGCCACTGCACACACCACATTGCAGACTGAATTCGTGATGGGTAACAAAGGGTCCAGCGGTTGCCCTGAAAGCAGAGAGATCTCAATATTAATGTGACACTGGCATTAGACCAGATCACATTGGATCCTGCGTCTGTTCAGAGCTGGATTTTAGAGTGAGACGGGTAAAGGGAAGAGCCACCATCAGGACCTCTTTTTGAGTATCGAGTGAGTTGGGGCAGCATTTGGTGGCCCTCATCCTGGACGCACGGAAGCCTCCGCAGGACTCAGAGGGCCCTGTGAATCAGAGGGCAGGACTCAGAGGTCCCTGCCTTCAACTGCTTTACCATGTGCTTTTCATCTAGACGGCGGTTTTCACTGATCTCAACAAAGCACCAGAGGGGTTTGTTTGTGGAAACTGGAGCACCGAAAGGAACTGACCTAGGTAGGCAGCCCCGGACTCCCCACTCCACCCATGGCACACACGCATTTGCGCTCTTGGAGAGGCGGCCGGCATGCGGGGGGGGGGAGGGTGAGACTCCACTGTTGGCGTTCCAGCACTGAGATCACAGACACATAATTCTGGAACTCCAAAAATATCCTATGCCCTCCATAGGAAGTCAGGAGACCATAGGGTTGTGTCCTTAGTTAATTTTTAAAATATACACATCATACAGTAACCAAGAGAGAACAGCTTCCCTTTTGACTATGGACTGAGTTGAGACAACAGAATAACCTACATTCAGGGGCTGAATAGGAAGGATTGTCATCAAACCATGAACCCAGGCAAATCCCCTTAAAGTTCCTTCCTTATGTCCTGTATTTGTTGAATCCCTCCAGTATTTATTTCTTGCTACCGTAGTGTAATCAACTAGGTATCCTTATGCAGAAGAATGAGATAATTAAATAGCCCGTCTTCCATACAGAGATCAATATGTACAATCAGTCAATCTCTATCAAGCACGATCTAAGGAAATGAATCGCACAAAGAATCCCAATTGGACAGTTCCTTCAATTAAATGCATACATAAATCAGAAATGCCAGAAGGCACTTTGCTTTTGAATCCAGCCCAGAGTTAACTGCATGCATCATCCTAATTAATTGCTATCAACTGTAAGTATTGACAGAGCTTGAGAAAATATCACTCGCTGGCACAAGGCCAAAGGTGCTGATTCCACCTGCTTTCGTTCTCAGAAAGAAACAACATTCATTTCACACTTCCTAACTATTGCACTAACTGCAGCCATCATTGGCATTGTTGTGGTGATTAATAAAGTAAGAAAGGCTCCATTGCACAACTGACAAGCTAAGCTAATAAACAGCCTTATATGTTTCATCTCGTAACAGCTGCTAAGTATTTCTTTTCCTCGGTGATTCATACCCAGCTAACAGGCTGCCCAGACTCTTGCTCTCAGCTGTCAAAACAGAACTATTCTCTTCTGATGTAAACCTAGAAACTAGGCGTCAGTCCAGCTTGTGCATGATCCCAGGAAGGGCTGCCTCAAAAAGCCATCTGGCTCCTGCCACATTCACACTCTTTCCTTCTCCAATAGGATCTCTTGCTATTTTACTTTTGTATTCAGGCAATCATCAAATGGTCCTATGGCCCTCCCAGCTCTTGCTGTAGGGAGGGCATAGGATCACTCAGATTCCCAGCTCTGGCCTCAGATATAGGCTTGGAGCGCCAGTCTCCCAGCCTTGCCCCATCACAGCTGCCCCAAAGAAATATGTCAGCTGCTTTGCCATCGGAACAGCACTCTCAGGGAAGAGGCTAAAGGGGCATTTCAGGGGACTGGGAGGGGAGGAACCTGGAGTGGTCTGGGCATGAACTATGCTGCTCCAGGCCGCTTTCCCCCACCTCTAAAGCACCCCAGCTGAATGGCCACGAGCAGCTGCCTAGTAAGGCTCAGGATGGAGGGGATGACCTCCACCACTCATCTCCAGCCATCCTTGGATGCCCGCAAACCTCCAAGGCACTGGGCTAACGGGCAGCCCCACTGAATGCCCCCTAGGCAAACTAGATGACATGGCAGCCTGGATCATCCAATGGACTCAGTTTAAACTAGGGTTGGAATGAACCCTTTGGGAATCTAGCATCCTTCTAGCATCCATGGACTTCCAGTCATGCTCAACCCAGTCCATGGAAAAAGAAAGGCCACCAATGCTCGTGAAGTTGTGTAGCCAGCAACCTTCCCCATCATGCACAGCTGCCCAAAGAGTGCTGCAGGATGCAGACGAGGAGTGCAGAGAGAGCGCTCACCAGGCGCCACTCCTGGCAAGAGCCTTCATGCCCAACCGCTCCTGCCGGGCGCCATGTCCTGCGGCCAACCATTCCCAGCAGGCGCAGAGGAAGGGCACTGCTTCCGCAGCACGTTGGGCTTGATTCCAAGCCAGCACCCGCGGCCACTGGGTGCACTCGCCAGCGACACGGGCCCCTGCAAAGCAGGCTGGAGTCTGGGCAGCTGAACCAGGGAAGCCAACAGTTCCCAACCCCAAATAGATTCCTCAGACTGCCCAACCTAAACCGTTTTAATCAAGGTTACACTGCAAAGCACTTCAAAGTGCATCCAGCAGTCATGGAGGGGTGAGGACAGCGCAAGAGGCCAGAGATGTCTGCTCCAAATATGCCACTGAGGCAATCGCCAGTTTCAGGGGTGAGGGTAAGTGGACGTTTCTTTCGGTGTGTTTCTGGTAAGCAGCTTACCAGAATTCACACCTTCCCTCATAAACACCAAGGATACGGGCAGTGCATGTTGTTCTCTCTGCATACACACAAACCTTCTTGGATTCTAACATGGGAATTTAACAGGACAGGGTTCATTTTATTGTACTTTTAGTCATTGCACTGTTTCAGGGGAGAACAGCACCATCACAGCTACTCCAAAGAAGGTTTCGTGCACGAGGCTGTTTTCCCCACGCCACCACCCATTCCAGCAGCCATCAGTGCTGACACTACCAGACTCTGCGATTTCAGTTTCCACCAGGCAGGATCAGCATGGGCAGAGACCTGTTCTCCCCTGCAGAGGAAGGCAGGACGCGCTCCAACAGAGCAAAGCTCAGGGAACCCAGGTTCTGTCTGGATGCCAGGAAGCACTTCCTGACAGTCAGGACCCCGAGGGTGTGGAATGGGCTTCCCTGGGAGGTGGTTGAGGCCCCATCGGTGCAGGTGTTCAAGGATAGGCTGGACATCCACATGGTGGGCATGTCGTGAGCAGAGCCGGCTGGTGCTGGAAGTCAGACTAGATGGCCCGGGAGGCCCCTTCTGACTCGCTCTGTTTCTATGTTTCTAACATGGCACCTTGACAGTGCCGGATAAGGTTGGGACAAACCCTTTCGGAATCCACCCCTCCAGAATCTGTGGCCTTCCTGTTATGCTCAGCCCAGTCCTGCAAAGCAAGCGGAGCCACGGGGAAGTCTGCGAAGGTCCACAGACCCCCGGTTATGCAAACAGTAACTCTCCCCAGCCGCCACTCTCAGTGGCTGAATTTCTTCCGCATTTGCAAAGCAATGGCCCTGCTTGAAACACGTGGTGATCGATTCCCAGGGAATACCCCACCAGTCCTAGATGCTGTTTCCAGAAACTCAGACTTTGGCCCATTGCAATGTGGACTCAAGTGCAGGAAGGCCAAACCAGGGAATCTGATGGATTTTCTGCACAAAGCAGATTCCTCTCACATCCTCCGTGTCAGATGTCCATGGATTGGACATTCTGAAAAATATTCACCTGGAGTTCCAGAGGACTGTGTGCATCATATTAATACAATATTAATACAGTATTAATACAATTAATACTGGCAGCTTGAAGCACAACGGAAATGCAGTCTTCTGGTTAATATACGCATGAAGTGAGCAACGAAAAGCAGAGCAACGAGGATGACGAATGGACGGATGGATTTTATTCCTGGACTGCCCAATAGCTGAAGCTGTCTAGGTGGTTCACCCAAGAATTTCTGCAGCCCTGCCTGTGATCACATACCCTTAGCATGTGTAAAGATCTCCACAAGCTCACGGGCTTCTTCTGCGATTTCGTTCTCTGTGCCTTTCTTCCCCAGTCCCAGCTTCCTCATGGTGCCTACAGCAAACCTTCTCTGCTGCTTCCAGGTGTGACCGTTGGAAATTACGATACCTGTGGCCATCAAGGATCAATGAAAAAGTAGTGCTTGTGAAAGACATATCAGCAAAGGCAGTGCAATTCATACCCGCACATTCAAGAACTACTTATTTTTACACAACCAAAGAAATACAAGGCTGAAGCAAAATCATTCTAACAACCTGCTCCGTCTCTGATATCAGCCAGCAAAGCACATTTCAGGAAGTGCCTTGTGAAGGAAGACTTTCAATTACCCTTAGGAGTTCAGGGCTGGCTTTCAAAATTCCTTTACATGTGCTAGTACAAAGCAGGAAACAGAAGTTTAGAGAAATCCCATAAATGCAGACCATCCATGTGCTATCTTGGGACCTGGATACCTAAAGGAACGCTTGTGCCCATATATGCCCTCCCGCTCCTCGAGATCAGCAACAGAGGCCCTTCTCCGGGAACCCTCTGTGAATGATATTAAGATGGTGAGTACCTGGAGGAGGGCTTTCTCTGCAGTGGCGCCCCGCCTATGGAATGCGCTCCCCAGAGAGGTCCGCCTGGCGCCATCATTATATGTTTTTCGGCACCAGGTTAAGATCTTTTTATTTGATCAATATTTTAATATTGTATTTTTATTGTTATATTTTAACCGCAGCCAGGGTGGGCTGATAATTTATTTATGTTTGGCGATACTTGTATTTTATCTTTCTAAGCTGTCCTGAGGCTTTTGCAAAGGACAGCATATAAATATCCTAAATAAATAAAAATATCCCAGGGCATTCTAGATGCTACAATTCCTATGGAACATGCTGGAGTTACGCAGGTATTTCCTGCAGCACAATGTGCATGGCCTTCACACCTGAGTGTGTCCACATGGGAGTACATCCATGCGGGAAACTTGATCGAACAGGTTTTTCCTAGAGGGATGCACGCTGGTATTATAAGATGCAGCCATATTTGTTTGCAATGTCAGCTTCAGGGTGGCAACGAGGCTCTTGGGACTGAGCTTGCGTCATTCAACTCCTTCTCATGCTCAGTCCTGTCTTAGGAAGCAAGCCGAGCTGAGGGGAAATCTACACACATTTGCAGAACTCTGCTTGTGCAACCAGCAACCTTCTTCCTCAGCACGTGCAAAGAAAGGCCTCAGATCTCCTGTGTGAAAGAGAGATGTGGGCCACGTGCTCGGCATTCGTGTGGGCTCGATTTCTGGAAGGCATCTGCATGGATGCTTGGTGCACTCAGAGCCACGTGGAGTCCATGGCCACAGGAATGTGGGCCAGGCTGCAGGGAGCCGGGCCAAGGGAATCCAGTGATGCCCATCCCTAAAGCAGATCCTCAGTAAACTTGGTAGATGTCTTCTGTGGGAATCTCTGGTTTTTCCCCCTTTGGTAGTTTCTGGAGTCCGTAAACTTGTTGGCCAGGGGACACATTTGGAATGGCAAAGAGTATTGGAGCACTGTCACAAAATGGCTGCCATGGTGGGTATTGTTGATCACAAGATACCAATTTCCTAGACTCAAAGAGAGCCACAGAAAAGTTACCTGGCCCAAAGCCCAGGTACAATGTGGCAGTGACATCTCAGCTCCAAAATATAAAACACATTTTTTTTATGCTTTAATGCTCATTTCAGAGGAAGCAAATAGTTCACACCCACAGGCAATACAGCCAATTTTGCAAGCTAGCACTTCATTGATCTTAACCCCTCTTGGCTCCCAATTGATTATTTCTATTAAAAAAAAACTTCTTAAAAAGTAAAAAGCCAGTGGGACAAGAATCTGGCAGACAGAAATGTCCACCAAACACCAAAAGTGGTAGCCCCCAAGAGCCTCTGAGGCATAATCCGCTTATGTTTCCTCAGTCAGCTGCCCATGATATCCACGACTGTCAAACTGGTGCAACATATTCCCATAATGTATTTGCTCACATGAGTAGTTTCCTGAGAAAAGTATCGGGTGCCTGCGTGAGGAACTAATGCATCATTTAATGGACCTCCCTTTTTGAAACCGTAGGGGCCCCTGAGGGCCACCTTTTGAAACCAAACTCTTGATGCATAAGTGGGGTTACCTGTGATCAGACACCACTTTGGAGATTCCCTCTTTTGCTGCATCAGGATCAAGCCCTGCATCATGATACAGATGCGCACACGAAAAGGAAGGCATTGACGTTGCTCTCCGAGGCCTTGGAAAACAGCTGCCAACATTCAACCTCTGCGCATCTGCAGCTCATTTGCATGATTTAAAGTCTAATATGAAGCAGATGTGTGCACTTCTACGATGCTGAGTGGGGAATGGATTGGCACGATGCGTCTGTGTGTCAGCTTAACTATAACCGACTTCCGATACGTGGAAAGAGTTCCATTCTTAAGATTTCTCTCATGGAGTAACTTCTGGCACAAGGCCCAGCAATGCAAAAATGCAGGCATGTTTTCCTGGCAGCCCTTGCCTTCAGTTAACTCTTTCCCCGGATTCACCCCCATGCCTTCTGCACCCTGTTCATTATGCAGAAAAGGTGTCCCCAGCCTCTTTCAAGGTAGCAGGACAGTCTCTTCTCAGGATCACCTCAAGGTCCCAGGTTATACGGCTTTCCCCAGGTAGTACAACTACTCTATATTTCCTTTGAGAAAATCCTTTTAATGCTGGTTTTTTTTCCCGGTGTGGAAAAAATGGTGGAAAAAATAAAGGAGGGTTGCAAATTGAAGCCACACTGAGCTGGTAAATGCAAGTCAATTTCTGCACCTGATGTTTCCAGTGCTCACCTGCTGAAGAAATTGCTAGCTCTCTTTTGTTTCAAGAGTCTCCACAATCTACTGGGGAAAAACCAGTCTAGAACCAGTGTGGTGTAGCAGTTAGAGAGTTGAACTGAAGCTAAGAACATCCAGGTTTTAACCCCTCTTAGCCATAAGCTCACTGATGACATTGCATCAGTCATAGACTCTTGGCCTAACCTACCTCAAAGGGTTGTTGTGAGGATAAAGTAGAGAATAGGATTCTGTCAGCCACCTGGAGTCCCTTGCAAGAGAAGAAAAGGCGCATAAAACTATAACAAGAAAGTTACCCTTCGCAGTGGCCCACCTCTGTTTTTCCCTGTCATTTCAAGGAAAGGAGTCACAGGTCTGTCAACGAACTCTTCTGCGTAGCCGGACAGGCATTCTTTCACTGCACGGAATCCAGAGAGAATGATGGCAGGTTTGTACCCAATCCATATCGTGTAAAGGTTTCCATATTGCTTTGCCAGCTGCCATTGGAATCAAAACAGAGGAGATAAATCTTAGAGTCACACACAGGCAATGGCTTCAGATGGATGCGTGAGGGTCTGCCCACATGATCTACTCCCCCTTGCCCCTCCTCCCCCACCTCAGGACATACACACGCCTGCTGCTCTTTGCTGGCTTTTCCAAGCCACCCCTCAACCAATATCCAGGCAACCAGCGGCGAGGAGCGCTTTCCTCCAGCTTCGGCTGATTCATCAGCTGCGCCCCTACCTGGAGTACGACTGCCTTGCAACAGTGACTCATGCGCTGGTGACTTCCCGTCTTGACTTCTGTAACGCGCTCTACGTGGGGCTACCCTTGAAGACGGTCCGGATACTTCAATTGGTTCAGAATAGAGCTGCCAGGCTGCTGACGGGGACTGGACGTTATGTTCACATGACTCCAGTTCTCCGTCAGCTTCACTGGCTCCCCATTGAAGTCCGGGCCCAATTCAAGGTGTTGGTAATGACCTATAAAGCCCTAAACGACTTGGGTCCTGGTTACCTGAAGGAGCGCTTACATCCATATTTGCCCAGTCGCCCCCTGAGATCGGCGGGAGAGGCCCTTCTCCGGGAGCCCCCCGTGAGAGAAATTAGGAGGGTGGCTACTCGGAGAAGGGCTTTCTCAGCGGTGGCGCCTAAGTTATGGAATGCGCTCCCCAGAGAGGTCCGCCTGGCGCCGTCGTTATTTGTTTTTCGGCGCCAGGCTAAGACCTTTTTATTTAAGCAACATTTTAAATGCTAAATACAATTGAATTTTATCTGGCCAGGGCGGCTTATTTTATAATGTGTGTTTTAATTAAGATTATTTTATATGGATATTTTAACTTACTGTTTTATCTATGTTGTAAGCCGCCCCGAGGCTTCGGCGAATGGGGCGGCATAAAAATGTTTTAATAAATAAAATAAATAAATAAATAAACCAGTGTGGCGTAGTGGTGAAGAGCATGGGACTGGGACTCTGACGATCTGGGTTCGAGTCCCCGCTCAGCCATGGAGCCAACTGGGTGACTTTGGGCCAGTCACAGACTCTCAGCCCAACCTTCCTCACAGGGTTGTTGTTGTGAGGATGAGATGGAGGAGGAGATGTAAGCTGCCTTGAGCCTTTTGCAGGAAAAAGGCAGGATATAGATCAATCAATCACTCACTCAACCAAGCCAGGTGCTGTTGGAGCCCAGCGTGGCTGCCCAAACCAGAAAATGAGCCAGTCAGTGCCAAAGACGTTCTCACCCCTGACAATTCCCTATGCAGATTGTAGCCCTTTTCTCAATCCAAACATGCACAGGATTCATAGAATGATAGAAGAGTAGAGTTGGAAGAGGCCATGGAGGCCATCGAGTCCAACCCCCTGCTGTTGCCAGGCACCATGTTACACCATCCCACTCTGAGGGCTGCCCAGGTTCTTTCTGAATGTCTCTAGTGTGGGATTTTGCAGCAGCTGGACTCAGAGGCTCCCATCATCCAGTGCCTGGAACAGGCAGTCTCTGCCCCTTCTGCACCATGGCCCATGCATTCCATCTAGAGGGAGTTCCGGGGAGGAGGCTGGGGAGCTAATGAACAGAGGGGGGGACAGAAGCCGCAGCCTTTTCCCCTCCCTGCCTCCTGGCAAAACACTCCCCCACCCTTCAAGGTATGTGGGGAGGAAGCCAGTGCTGTTCCTTCTGTGGCAGATAGGACAGGGTGGCCTTTGAGGTCAGAGCACCATGGTCAGACGACCACAGGCTGAGCCCTTCAGTTCTTATGAGATGGTTGACTTAGGGACTGTCACTGCTTGTTATTCTTCCTTTATCTGCACCATTTCTGGACCACCCCACACCTAGACAGATTCCAGAGCAGTGAGCAATCAAAGGACAAAACAGATAATGAGAGAACGAGAACAATGCATTAAAGACAGAAAAACACTGAAATAACGACTGGTCTTCAAGGAAGGCTTCCCCCACCCCACCCCAAAAAAAAGACATCTTCAGCAGGTACCAGACTCTACAAAGTGTTGGTGCTTGCTTGACCTCTGATGGCAAGGCATTCCTTAGAAATGGAGCCACCATGTTGAAAGCTCTTCTCCTGGTAGACTCCATTGGGGCCATAGGTCCATATGGAACTCCCAAAAGAATGTCTTCTGCTGACCAGAGATCCAACAGGTTGGTAAGGAAGAAGGTAGCTCTGACTCTTTTAGCATGTGCTTGAGCCACCTCAGGATTACACTATGTTCCCCAAGGTTTAGTCCTAACAGCTCAGTTCAGACAGCACAACAAGCCATTGTGGTTTTTACCACTGTTCGTTGGTCATGTTGTCTGAAGCCAGTGGTATTCACCATGCTATGTTTGGCCTTTTGAAAGGATGATAAGAGAGAATGGTTTGTTCTATGGTTACTCTGTACCACTATGTCTTGTTGTGTTATCTGAATCCAGGATCATGGTTTCCATAGTCCGGCTATGCAACTACCACAGAGTCTTCTGGAAAGAGTGGCAACTGCAGAAGCCACTCCAGCCATCCAACGTCTATGTGCGGGCCAATGAGGAAGAAGCAGGCAGCATAGGCAGGAAGTGATGCACCTTGGGACTGAATTTCATATGCAGTGGCTGATGGGATATCTGCCCACAGTAGGAGGACCGAGCAGGGAGAATTGAAACCACATTAAAGTAGAAACCACTTGATTGTCAGGTAGATCATGGTAAAGAACAGTAAATGGTGGTAACTACGCAGAGTTCTTTGTCGTGTTGTGTGAATACAGCCAGTACCTTTGCATGTGATACGGATGGATGATGGACAGGTTATTGCAGAAGGAAAGACCCGAAGGCGAGAGGCGAGTGCTGGTCTTGCCCCGCCTGATTCAGTGACCTGCAAGGCAGATCTGACAAGCACTTCTAGGAAGCCCAGTGTGTTTTGACCCGGGGAGCCTGGTGCTATAGACGCAGACCACTGGGGGCAGCTCTGGGGCCCTGCAGTGCGTGGAGCCCCCAGACACAGTCATCACTCCCATCTTTTGAAAAGGGGGACCCTTCAGATGAGGGTTGGCACACCGACGAGGAAACTGCTGGTACGTGCGGCACCTCCATTGCTCCAGTGGGCAGCTAGGTAGCATCATTTGAGCCCAAGCATCCTCTTGGGAAATCAGGTTGCTGGGTGTGACTGCAGCATTCCTGAGCTGGAAGGAAGGAAGCAAGCAAGCAAGCAAGCAAAAAGGGAAAGAGAGCAAATAGGGAGTCAAAAAGGAGAGAGGGATAGCTATTGAGAGAGAGCAACTGAGACAGACAGACAGACAGACAGACAGACAGACAGACAGACCAACCACCCAGAAGTGGATGATGGCAGACAGCATCTCGCCCAGGACCTTCTTACACCTGGTAGCACCACTTGCCTAGAGGCTTCCTGGGGAAAAACTGGAGGAGTAAAAATAAATGGGATTAATACTGCTGTTGATGTAAGTAGGTGTTTATAGGCTCATAATGAAAGGCCACCTAGCTAGCAGTTCTAGGCACTGGGTAGGATGTTGGCTCGAAAACTGTGCTATGGTTGGGCCTTGCTCGGTCTCAGGCAAAGCATCTGGGGCTGCAACAAAAGATTGCAGCACGAATTGGCCCTGCTCAGGATGGCCCCTTTTCAGATTATCTCCCAGCGGCCAGCACTCTGTGTCCATTTTCAGAGCTGCTTTTGTATAGCCTTCTCAGATACAACACCTGTATGCCTGGGAGTCTTGAACTTGGGACACTGCATTTATTTTTATTTTAAATGTTGTTGTTAATTTTGTATGCCGTCTTTTATAGAAATATCTCCAGATGGCTAACAGCAGTTTAAAAGAACAATTTAAAACCTCTCATAACATCCAATAACAAATTAAAACAGTAATACTGTGTAAACAATAAAGGACATCAAATAAATCAGATTGAATCAAAATAAAACAAAGCAAAAGCAACTGCAAGAACCATTAAAACTATTAATTTTTAAAATATCGCTTAAATACAAATGCTATGACATTTGCATACATGCTAGCTTTCAAAAAGTTTTCAATGACATTGGTAACCCGTTTTTATTTTGCTTTGTATGGAGTTTCTGACTTGCGCATAAGGACTAAAGTGATCTGGGGGTCATGGCGGATGGCTCAATGAAGGCGGAAACCCTATGCAAGGCAGATGTGAAAAAGACAAAGTAAATGCTAGAATATTATGAAGTGGTTGGATGTGAATTTGGCACCTGATTAACTGCTTCTGTGGCAGCATCTCAGTTGCCAGGGAGCCTGGGAAATAGATTTTTCCCAAGGCACCCAAGTCATTTCCCAAGGCACCCAAGCCAGTGTGGTGTCGGGGTTAAGACCATGGGACTGGAACTCAGGCGATCTGGGTTTGAGTCCCCGCTCAGCCATGGAGCCAGCTGGGTGACCTTGGGCCAGTCACAGACTCTCGGCCCAACCTACCTCACAGGGTTGTTGTTGTGGGGATGAGATGGAGGAGGAGAATGATGTAAGCTGCCTTGAGCCCTTTGTAGGAAAAGGACAGGATATAAATCGGGGGGGGGGAGGGGAAATTGAATAGAAACCACATGTCCTATGGCTCTAGGAATGGTGGGACACCTGATGTGCCTACTTTTCCTAGGGTTTGAGGCCTAGCACACTGTCATGCAGCATTCCAACAGGTGCCTGAGGCAAGAAGGGCCTCGGGAACCTCTCCAATTCCCCGCCTGTCCTGCTGCCGCTGCAAAGTCCAGGTGCTTGTGGGTGGGTGCTGAGTGCCTGTTCAGCTCCCGATTTGCACTTCACCTTATTGTCAGACACACGTTGGGCTGCAGGTCTAGACAGGAAAGAATCCTGATCCCCCAGCAGTGTCCAGCCAGTCCGGCCACATTCCCCAGGCTGGCTGGAGAATTCATGGATTTGCAGGCAGGTTTTCTGTGAAAACACGCATGGGCCAACTCCTTCCCTTGTTAAATTAAGAGAGAGACACATCAAAACCGAGAATTTGGTGTATCATGTTCCAAGGGGCTCCACCTTCTGGGCCGAGTGAAGTTTCCCATTGTTAACCATATCCAAGTTAGAGTACACCGAATCATCCACACTCACACCCTTTCCTTCTTCTGGGAAAACAACTTAGCTTGCTAAGGCCAATTCCAAATCAAGCCTTTCATGGAGGAGTGAGGGAGATGCCCATCACCACATACAAGCCTTGACTTAGCCTTCCATTCTTAATTGCTTTGTGACCATTTCTGCTCCACCTTCACATCGGTAGGAAGGCACCTCAGTGGGAGGAAGTGAGGGATTGTGGTGGGAAGCGAAGTCTGTCTGTGGCAGGTTCACACAATGCTTTAAAACAGGGGTGGGTTGCAAGCCACCCCACCCTCAGGCGTCCACTGTGCCTGCCCTCCATGTCTGTCAGGCAGAGGGGGTGTCCTAAGGGCCCTCCAAATGTTTCCCCCTTGGTCTTCCACAGGCATCCTAGGGGACCCCGTGGGAGAATCGGCAGGAGAGGGGAGCTGGTTCACTGCCAGCCTCGCCCTGACCCACAACTCAGCCTCGTAACCCACAGCAAGGGCTGCTGCTGCTGCTGCTAATGTCAGGACCGGTACTGCTGCCAAACAGGGACCGAGCCCCACTAGCTCAGCCTTGTTCCAGGGAAGTGGGGCAGAGTGCAGCTCCTTCCAAGCATCCCCCCACCACCACCCCAGGATTGGCAGCGGGGCACTGGACTGGGGGCAGGGGACTGGACCTCTGTGGCTTCCAGCCACTTTAGTTAGTGGCCGTGGCAGGGCAAGGAGCCTCTGGAAGCCACCCCCAAGTCCCAGCTGGACACTCTGGGCGACTGTCCTCAGAGCCCCGCAGCCACCTGGCCAGAGCAGTCCATTTTTGCCCTTCTTTCCAAGCAGCTCTGTAGCCATTCGGACAGCCCCGAGCTTGTTGCGTCATCTGAGTTGGGATGATATGCTAAGCCAGGGATGACTTATAAAGCTACATCAAGCACCTGGGCTAAAATCCATCCTCCGGGAAGCACATCCATGTTTGGACCACACACTAAGCTTATAAGCGCTGGCTCCTCACCTTGGCATGTGAACCCAAATTCTATCCCAGATGCTTTTCTGAAGTTCAAAGCAGCTGGCAGTCAAATATGAAAACAACAATCTAACAATTTGAAGGAGTGGATAAATGTGCCATAAAAGACTTAGATAGCACAACACCTTTGAAAAGGAAAAAGATAAAGGCTCAGCCATAGAGGTCTCTCTTGAGCTAAGATGGTCTTCTGTTGACTTTTAGCATTGATCAGGCATCTAGACAAAATCTCTTTGCTCGAGACAAAGAACTACGGAGAACCTTGTAGCCCATCTTGTGTTCCTTGCGAGAGGAAGAAAGACAGGATATTAATGCATAAAAGTGGAGGAGGAGGAGGAGGCAGGAAAATCAAGTATCAGCAGTAAACCTGGGACTCAACTTAGAATAGCCTAGGAAACAGAGGAAATTAAAGAGTGGGAGGATTTCCAGCAGCCTAGCAGCTGACTACAACCACAAAGACATGCCAAATAGCAGAAGTGATGACCTGGATAACAGTAAGCAGAATCAGGTAATCTACCATCTTCCGGGGCACTGCTCTAGTTGAGAGGGAAATGGGTATGGGGCACCCTAATGACCAGCAGGAAAGTTATCCTACTGTTATGATTTTTAACAGATGATCTAGCAGCTAGCAAAAGGCCTTGGACATCAAAGACATGCTGAAGCCTGAAGTCCTGCCTCTGTTCCCAGGACCAGAAGGGCTTCTCACACCTCATTTGGGTTCTGGGTCCCGGCAGTGCTTCTCATCCCATCTGCTGCAATTTCCTTCTTCAAGAACAATGGCAAAGCTACCTTCTTTTCGGTACCTGCAAGTGTGACTTTCTCTTCTACTTTCAGGAAAGTGTGTTTTCGTAAGCTTATTTAATTAAGCTTGTTATGAAACTCTGCTCTTCCTGCCAAAAGTTTGGGTCTCAAGTCCCAAACTCACCTCTCTTCTCACTAGGCAGGATTGGAGGGACGCATCTTAGTGGGATCTCAATTCATAGAAATCAAAGCCAACCCAACTAGTTTGGGGACCAAATGTATCCTACAAATCTCCTACAAATTAATTTGAGAACAAATCAATTAATATAACACCGAAAATGGATTCAGAGACATCCCTTCCACCAGCCAAGGACAGCCAGAGAAGACAACTGGCTCCTGAATCCTAAACTTTTCTGAATCAGAGTTCTTGCATTTAATGGTCAGGAGTGATTGAGGAGTGACTCACGCCCACCCAGCAGCTGAAAAAGACAACTGCTGTTCTTCAACACCCCTAGAGGGGGCCGGACTGGGAGCACCTGCACAGACCACCAAAGCGTACTGCTGAGTCTCAAAAAGCCATTATAGCTTCCCATACTGGGACAAGGATACCTGCAATCACAAGAAATGGCCAGGGTCCAGCTCACCAGACACTCCTTTCCAATGCAGAGCTTCATTGGCACTTCTCAGCTATCAAGACAATGCAATTCAGAGAGGCCTCTAGCACACTGAATGAGCAGCCTCTGCTCATGGAAAGAGCGCTGAGCCCGAACCGGAGACTTTTCCGCAAGCCTTCCCTTTCAGTGGCTCCCAAGGGGAGAGCGAGCTGGCAAGGGCTACACAAACCCTCTGGCTGAGTGTCTTGCCTCTCCCAGGGCCAGGGACAAGGCAAGGCACCGGCTCTCCTGGTCCCTCCCGTCTCTCCCAAAGCAGGTCTGCTCTCAGGGTCAGCCAGGGAAGCTGCCTGCAGCATCCTGGATGGAGCGCCAAGGTCCCCCCTTGATGCTCCTGCTCTCCCATCGCCTCTTCCCAGTGTCTCCCCTTCGGAATCCCACCACACGGACCCTGGGGAAGCTGGCAAAGCTGCGTGCCTGACCCACTCACCCCACCCCCCAACACACCAAATCTCTCTCGAGGGCAAGTGACAGGTGGCTAATCTTTGTCCTTTTTTCATGGCGCCACCAAGTGAAGCCCCTTTTTTGCCTCCACAGAAGTCAATGGGCCGTATTAACTTTTATGTTAAATAATAAATTATACCCATTGATTTGGAATATTCTTTCACAGCTGATTTTTTAAAATGCAAAGAATTAGAACTGCTGCAGCTGTAACCAAGCAGGAAAGAAATATTGACTTATCATCTGCAATCATGAGAAAACTTGATTATCTATTCTTGTCTGTATAATTTCATTTTAAAAGGACAGTATTACATTCGAAATGCACATTATCACTCAAATGAACTGTAGTTTTGTTAAAAAGATGGCCGCATGTTTCAAATCCCCAGTATTTAACAAATTCTAATTATTCTTTATCCACAGCCGCCACATTAAGAAAATACTCCATATTTTCTCCTACTCAGGTAACGATTTTAAAAGAAATACCTTAAGGAAGGTGTCATGAGAGAGCTTGACCCCAAACCGCCACATGCCTCCAACAAGGGGAAGTCTGAGAGGTCCAGGGGGGAGGCGCCTTAAGGAAAGGAGTCGTTTCAGGGAGCGCGGGATCAGGTTTGAAAATATAGAAGTCAAAGATTCTGATGTCTGCATCATACTTCCACTTTCGCCGAGCTTTTCAGATGTAGCTTGGTCATTTGGTTTGCCTTTCTCTGGTGGCATTTTGCTCTCTTCAGAAACATTGCAGCCTCTCCGTTTCTCTACTAACACCCTTTTATATATCCCTTTAAAGACAAGTAGCTGTTACCGCGCACCTGTAACTGCCTAGGAATCTGGTCAGCCAGGCCTGCACTATATTAACAATTATTATATATTTAGGTTGCGCCATTATGAGTGTACATGTTATTAAGATAATTAATTGTTTTATAGCGGTAATTGTTTTACATGATGCAGGTTTCTCCTGCTCTGAGAAACAAGAAAATTTGTTCTGCTGATGTCTTTCTGAGATCCTTTTGTTTCATGATTGTTAATCTGCAATTATTATTTCTGTCCATGTGGATTTTGTTAGGGTTCTGATTACATGTATAGCTGAAAATATATGAGTTCCAAATTTGAACATATAGTATGTTTGCTTCTTTTTATAAGCAGGTTTAGTTATTCTAGGAAAGGACCACATATATGCTTGCAGAGGAAAGAATTAATGACTCCAGTTACATGTTGTAAACCGTCTCGAGACATTAGTAATGGGACGGTCTATAAAAGCTTTTAATAAATTAATAAATAAACACAATGTTATTCAAATATTAGAACAGAAGAGAAATTATTATCAGATTTTGTTTTCATATTTTCTAATCCCGAAGAGGCACAGGACCAATCGTGTGCCATGTATTTTCTAAACATTTAATCTACTCTATGTTCGGAGAGTATACTGGGAAGGATGCATAAGAAATCCGTTCGGGGTTGGGAAGCCATTGGTGCCCCTGTGCTCGGCTCCTCGGACTCCCTCCCACTTTGCCGCAGCCCAGGCTCCAAGCTCCTGGTCCCTGCCGCTTGCCCCCTGCCTGCTCTGTGCTGGTTGTCCCCCTTTCCAGCACCAGCGGAGCAGCTGCAACAGATGCCAAGGAAGGTCACCGGTTGCACATCCATGGATCTACTGGCTTCCTCCCCACTCAGCTCCCGTTGGAAGACCAGGCTGAGCTCAAGAGGAAGCCCACAAATGCTTGGAGGGGCGGATTCCAACAGGATTCATCCCAAACCAACCTGCCAGGATACCTTTAGTGATGAAGTTCAGGCCTCCTCTTCCAGGTGGCATTTAGGGTTCCATTCTGTCCCCTTCAGGGCAGACACACACAGCCCTCTGAGCTCGGCAGCTGTGCAGCCTCTGCGCACCATGAGGTCGAGCAGAAATGTTTTCTCTAGATGGCTATTTTCAGCTGGCAAAGAGGGACCGAAGGAGGCCGGGGTTCCAGCTAGAATTTGCAAATAAGTCCCTGGACTTTGCATCTTCACTTCCCTGTCTCCCGTTTCATCCTTGGAGGCCTGCAGTTTTGACTTCAGGGTTGTACTGGTGCAGTTCTCCACCTTCAGTGTCTGACCACCAAGGCCAGGGGACCTCTGAAGAATCCAAGGATTCCCCAAACGATGTTGGGAAGCCATTGGAGTGTGCCTTAAATTTCTAATTTGGTGCTCTGACTCTTAAGTCAGATCCCTAATATTTTAATATTTTCACTGTATTTATTATTTTGGTTGCCGTTCCATCAATGTCCATGATGGACATAGAAGTTAGTTGATCGGATTATGCATTACAGTGCTTGCTGATAATGGGCTCTGAGGAGCCTCCCAGGTGTAACACGCCCCATCAGTGTAACCATGTGAACCTGAAACAGAATATGAATCCAGCACATTGTACAGCAGGGAGCTGTGGGGGAATCATTTCCAGCACTTGTTTGCCATGAAAACAGCATCATCTGGTGAAGGTCATGAGCAGCCACAGCCCCTCCAAGAGGGCAGGACCAGTTTGCATGACTCATCCTTGGGGAGGGGGATGGGTCCAGGAAGGTTGTAGGGCATCTTTGGGGGTTTTCAGCTGACACAGCCAGCTTCTGGAATTAAACCAGACATAGTCCCACAGTGTAAGTTTGGTGTACATGCTTCCTGTTTAATTAAGGTCATCCTCATCAGTCCAGCCCCAAGAGTGATTAGTTTGTTGGTACACAATGCATTTTTCCTGGCCTTCTGAAGTAATTAAAACCTTGCAAAAATGCCAACATTTGATCCTCTTATCCTTAATGAAGTGTTCTGAAAACTTTTCTTGTCTCTGTATTAGATTAAGAGTAATTAGACCTTTCTAGGTCAGTCAGAAAGCATTGTGCAACTTAGCTACTCCATCTTTTCCTCTTTAATGGATTTCTGTGTAAGAAAACAGGCAGAAGATGCCCTGGGAAATCACGGGAGTGTTTTCAGTGGAATAAGTTGTCATTAAATTCCATGAACAAGGTAAAGCAAATAAATGCCTTATCTGGGAAAACTTTCCAAATCCTGTTCAGAAATCTGACACAAGTCTTTGCAGTGGATTCTAGAGAGCTTATGCTACTACCTGACGAATGTCAATAGAAATTTTGAGGTCAGATCTCTATCGTGTGTTGCAACTGTGTTTTCTTTCCTTTGCAAGCAGGACAGCTGTCTGTGCTGATGTGGACACCTCCTTGAAGACACCTCCAAAGGAACACAGAGATCTTGGAAGGGAACCTGCAAGTGTTTTTGCTGTACAGATCAGCCTCCACCAACTTGGTGCTCTCTAGATCTGCCAGACCAGTGGGCATGCTGGCTGGGAATGATGTGAGTTGCAGTCAAGCACATCTAGAGAAGCACCAGTTTGGGGGGAAGCTGATACAGATGTTGGAAATATGGAAAGAGTGACTCTATTCTACCTTGGATATGCCCTTCTAATGTAGGAATGAATTGGTAACCCTACATAGACGTGCAGAGAGAAAGACCTTGAACTGATCATTTCTTGGAACTTGGTTGTTCTGAGAGAAGAGAGTTTGTATCTTGGGGCTACCAGACATGTGCTGGGCAGAGAGTTTATGGCTTGGACTGGGAACAACTCTGATCTGAAAGCCCAAAGAGACTTGGCCAGCCAGGGCAGAAAGCTGGCCTAGTCCCATGATTTTCTGGGACTTCTGTGTTGCACATGTGTTGGTCACCAAGCCTAGAACCTCCATCTCCATGTCCTCTGCCTTCTATTGTCCTGTCTCCTTCCTGTGAGACCAGGTGTGAAGTGAGTCTAACAAGGTACTCCAGAAGTTACAAGTGACTTCAGAAATTACTCCATTTCTCCTTCAAATAATCATCTCCAATTTGCAAGCCTGGCCTGCAAAGGACATTTATGGGCCGCATACGAAACATAGGCTTGCCTTGAATGCCATATGAAACTGCTGCCCCCTCCCCATGTTTAATTAAAAGAAAGAACCAGGTGATTAAAAGAAATTCAGAGAGGGTGGTCAGAGTGAGGAGCAGAGAAGATTGCAGGGTCCAAAACATAAGCTGTTCTGTTTCCTCTGCAGCCCCTCTGTGTCCCCACTCTGGCATCCCCCAGGGGCTAGACAGACACAAACACTGCAGATGCAGACCACAGTAGCATACCCTTAATCAGCCAAGTTTGCAGTTCTATGAAGTCTAGACAGAGAAAAGTCCTGCCAGCTCCCAGCATTTCTTAGCCTGCCATGCTGCCTTTCCCAAAGGAATTTTTTTCTGTCTAAATATGCATAGGATTAGACCCTAAATTATTAAATTATAGGCCCAGGTACCATGTACCAGATCCTTAAGAACACAAGAACTGTAGAGGTTTTCAAAGAGAGTGGTAAAACATTATGTTTAAATATTGAAATATGTCCTGAGATCACATTACTCTCACTTTTTCACAGGAAACAATGGAGTAGGAATATTAAAGAATTAATAACCAGATTAATAACAGCTGTGAGATTAATTATAGCAAAGAACTGGAAACTAGAGAATGATTTTCAATTGAGTGATTGGTATAGGGAATTTTGTCATATAGTTATTAATGATAAATTAACTTATGATATTAAAGTGTGAAAAGATATATAGAGAAGAAGAATTTTGATGAGATTTTGGGGTTCATTTATTAATTATTTGTTTAAAAAGGGGAAAGGATTTGAACCTTCACAGGAGTCATTGCAATTTTGGAAGCAGGGTGGAGCTTTTTGAAAGAATTGTTGAAACCGTTTTTAACATGTTTCTAATGGTCCGGGTGGTAGAAACCACAGTTTTTTTATGTTGTGCGTTATTATTTTAATTGTATTTTCAAAATTTCAAAATATTTAAAATAAAAATAAAAAAGAATATACTATGCTGTATAACCTAACCTGTATAACTACATAACCTATCCTGCATTCTGTTCGCATAGTGACTGATCAGCTCCCTATGGGAAAACACAACCAGACTGGAGCGCGACAGCGAAACGACGAGGCCGGCAAGGAGTCCTTCCTTGGATTCGTCCTTGATCGCCCACCAAGCAGCTTCCTGGGATGTGCTCAGCAGGATTCCAGCATCACAAGAGTAGGAGAAAAATGTCTCCTAGCTGCATTCCATGCACCTTGTATAATTGGTGCCCCACTATTATGTTTCCCCTGTTCATAAGCCACCTACTTGTTGGGCACTTTACATCCAAGCAGCCTCAAAAACTCGCTGCAGGCTTCTGCATGTTCCAAACCAGTCCACTGCGGGACCAGCAATTAGCTTCTGACTCGACCTTGAGCTGAGCCTGCCGCAACTGGAAGCTATGGGGCTGCATGACTCACCTTTTACACTCCTCCCAGAGGTCATCAGACTAATGGTTAGAGTAAAAGGGAACGTCATAAAACAACCTGGGTGTTCTCTTCTGCAGAACTTTGCACACACGATGGAGAGAATCAGAAGGACTTAGCGCAACACCTAAGACAGTAAGATTTTTATCACGGAACAGGATCTTCCGTGGGAGGGGTTCCATTTTTCCAAGTTCATCGGCAGAGCAAGCATTCCATCCGCAGCACTGCTGAAAGCAAGCCTGCAAGCTACAATTCCAACACCACAGGGAACATTTTAACATCTGCATGGTGAAATATCTGGGAGATTTCCCCCTTAAATTTGCCCCTCTAACTGTTAGAAAAACCCACTTAAGCTACAATAGCAATCCCATAATCCTTCACCCAGTCATGTGTGGCTCCTCCGGTGGATTGACGCTGAGTTGGTTGCCTTCTCAAGCCACTTCTTGCCTAAATTAAAAAGTAACAAACAGGAAGAGCACAACTAATTTGGGCACAACCTGTCGTCTTTGTGGCACCTAGCAAGATAGCCTGTTTCATGGCATGATGGGGCAGTTATGTCAGCTGATTTTCTTTCTTTATTTGATTTCTAGCCTGTCTATTAGCCAAGTTGACTCTGGGAGGCTTACAGAAATATAAAACAACAACATGCACAATAAAATGAAAATATTAAATCCAACATAATTTGAACAGGTCTAGTTGTACTAAAAATTGTTTCAGCTGAGAAAGATTTTTAATGTATATTGGTAAAAATATGCATTTATGCTGCTTTTACTGTATTTGTATACTGTGTTTTTATAAACTGTGATGTCCATGGAGCTTCAACTTTTCGGTGGTATAGAAATTAAAATTTAACAACAGCAACAACTTGGTATAATTATGTGATACTTAGAAGGTACGCCTATTTCCCAACAGCAACAACTTGGTATAATTATGTGAGGCCTATTTCCATCAATATCTTCCTTGCATTCTGCACTTACGAAAGAAATCATGGTATTAGTGCTGGAGAGTTTGAGAACCAGTCTGGTGTAGTTAGAGCACTGGACTAGGATCTGGAAGATCCGGGTTCAAGTCCTCATTCAGCCACAGTGCCCACGAAATGATTTTGGGCCAGTCACTGGCTCTCAGCCTATGCTTCCTCACAGTGTTGTAGTGGAGATACAACGGAGAGAAGGAATATGGAAGCCACCTTCAGTTGCTTGGGAGCAAAACAGTTGGGATAGAAGCACAACAACAACAACAACGACAACTTGGTGGTGGTTAGTTGAAAAAAGCATTTCTTCCTACTCACTTCCAAGTTCCCTTCTGAAAAATCTGGAGTGCCCGCCTATGCATGTTTAAATGCAAAGAAGTCCTGCATTTCCTGGCATCCTGGCTACAGCAGTCTAGGATTTTTAGACTGAGAGTGTTATGTTTTGTCAGCAGGAGCTGCCTTACTTCCTTAAACTCTGTTCTTGAAAACGTCTGATTGACATAGCCTCATAGAAGCTTAAAATAGTAGAGTAGAGAGGGGTCAAAAAGGTCATCCAGTCCAACCCCTGCTCAAGGCAGGAGCCCAAGTAACAGAGGGCTGTTCAGCCTAGTCTGGGGGAGCCCATGACCACCCTGAGTCACGGGTTCCATTGTCATATTGCTCTAACAGTCCGGAAATTTCTTTTACGTTCAGCCAGAATCTGGTGTCCTCCAACTTAAGCCTATTGTTCCAGGGATGACTGACAACCAATCGCCACTCTTCTCTCTGTGATAATCCTTCACATACTTGAAGAATACTGTCATACCTCCTCTCAGCCTTCTCCTCTGAAGGCTAAACGAACCCAGTTCTTCCGGTCCCTCCTTCAGTGCCCTGACCATATTCACCGTCCTCCCCTGAACCTTTTCCAGTTCATCTGTTTATTTAAACTACCAGGCCCAGAATTTGGCACAACACCCACCAACCAGTGCGGAGCAGAGGGGAACTAGCACCTCCCATGATTTGGAAGTGATCCTTCTATTAATGCAGCCCAAAATTGCACTTGTCCGTTCTTGCAGCCGCATCACACTGTTGACTCATGTTCGGCTTAGGAGCTGCAACCATCCAAGGTCCTTCTCACTTGCAGTCTTTGTAAAGCCATGGATTCCCCCGTCTTGCAGCAATGCATTTGATTGATTGATTGATTGATTGATTGAGTGATTGATTGATCGATCGATTTATATCCTGCCTTTTTCCTACAAAGGGCTCAAGGCAGCTTACATCGTTCTCCTCCTCCATCTCATCCCCACAACAACAACCCTGTGAGGTAGGCTGGGCTGAGAGTCTGTGCCTGGCCCAAAGTCACCCAGCTGGCTCCATGGCTGAGCGGGGACTCGAACCCAGATCCCCTGAGTCCCAGTCCCATGCTCTTCACCACGACACCACACTGGCTCTCCTATCATTTGGGATGGGTAGCTGCCTGGAATGGGTAATCCCATTTAACGGTCCTTCTGGTTGTTGTGCAAACAAGGCAAGATGCTGCCTTTTTCATTTCCCATACCAAGCCACTTTACTATAATGGTTTGCTATACTCGGTGGTAGAGGCCCTTCTCTGGGAACCCTCTGGGAATGCTATTAGGAGGGTGAATACCCGGAGGAGGGCCTTCTCTGTGGTGGCGCCCCATCTATGGAATGCGCTCCCCAGAGAGGTCTGCCTGACACCATCATTATTTGTTTTTCGGCGCCAGGCCAAGACCTTTTCATTTAAACATTATTTTAATTGTTGAATTTATTGATTGATTTTATATCTATGCCGGGATGTCTCCAGATTTTTAATGTAATTGTATAGTTATGTATTTGTATTGGAAGCCGCCCGAGGCTTTTGCGAATGGGGCAGCATATAAGTGTTCCAAATAAATAAAATAATATTAGTCGTAGTAGTAGTACCACATTTCCCCGAAAATAACACCTAACTGGAAGATAAGCCCTGGCATGATTTTTCAGGATGCTCGTAATAGAAGCCCTTCTCCAAAAATAAGTCCCAGTTCAGATCCGCAGCCAGATGGACGGTCACAACACACGACAGACGCATTGAATTAGATGCTCGGACAGAAGGCGATCTTGCCCCGTCCTGCCGGAGGAATCCTGCCGGCAGCTCGTTTGCCACTGTGTGGATAGAATGCGGCACTGGATGGACCATTGGCCTGATCCAGCAGGGCTTTGCTCACGTTCTCACGTTCTCATGTCAGGCCAAGAGGCCGCGGCTGGCCCAGTATCACCCAGTGAGTCCCAAGGCTGAGTGGGGCCTGGAGCCCAGACCTCCTGAGTCGCAGTCCAGCACCCTTAGCCGTGACACACGCTTGCCTGCCTCACTCACCGCATTTGATCAAACTTTGACGTCCTCGCCAGATAAAGTCTAAGGATTAACAGGCAATTAACCACCCACAGGTGGAAACTCCTAAACCAAAATAACTCGCCACCACCGAAGCCTAAGTTCATTATCCCCATTATTCCAACTGGCCACTTACTGGTCCCACCCCAAGGCAGAAGCTGGTTTCTGCGGAGTCCAATGCGCCACCCAAAGGCCAGGCAGGGGCTAGGAGCTGGCGAGGCCGCCGGGGCACTGCAGGCCCCTCAGGAGCCGGTGTCAGCCCAGACTCATTTATGCTGCGGATGCCTTGGCGTACCCAGCTCTGGGAAACAACAGCCGGAGATGCCACCGCCCTCATTTCCTACTTCTGGACATCCAAATGCGGTCAGACACAACGATCGGGTTTGCGTGACACATCGAGCCATTGTGAGTCAGCAGGGATGTGGGTTGTGGAGGCCCTTCCACCTCCACAGGGCGGCATGTCTGCAGGCCACAGAGCACCCCAACAACCCTGGTTTAGTGCAGGGGTTGTTGAACCCACCATGACTGGCAGGTCACCTGAACCCACCATGGGTTGTGGAGGAGTTGAGCCCACTGGTCAGGGAGAGTGGCAAAACCCCCTGGGTGCTCTTGGGGATCTTGTGCCAGCTGCCCCAGAGCGGGGGAAAGGGGATGTGCCAGCGGAGGGGACAAGAGGACTCATCCCATCAGCATCGTGGCCTCCTCCCCTCTCCCTCCCTGGCATTTTCCAGATGGCTCAGAATGGCTCTCCGTGTGAAAATCAGGACACAAAATACAGCAGCAACGAACATCCATCATTGTCACTGTGCCTCCTTCAGGGCACAGGATGCACGCACACCTCCAGGCGCAGGCCTTACCTGCATACAAGGTGCGCCCCTGCTGCTCCAGTCCGAATTGCTTTCTCCTGCTCAGCTGCCAGAGCGAACGAACAACAAACTTTACGAGGAATAGCAAGGCTGCTGCGATTGCGATTGCGGAGAGCACAGCTGAATTTTGCTAACGAACCTGTAAAATGGATGCTTTGCCAACCCTTTGCAACAAAGAGTCCCGTGGCACTTGAAAGGCGTAACCATTTTATTACAGCGCATGTTCTGCAGATTAGCTTCCCCTTGTCAGATGCAGAACGAATATCTGCGGATGTCCGGCTTATGGAGAGAGAGAGAGATGTAAGTAGATGGGCATTAAAAGCAAAACAGACAGTGGCGATTCTGTGCAAAGCTAAAAATAGGACCAAGGACACTTCACTGCAGCAAAGAGGAGATAATGCAGGTTCCAGTTTCTAGATTTGCTGTTTTAGCCCCACTGTGTACCGAGGCATAAAGGCCTGGTCGTCATTCGAGCCCAAAGTGGCAGAATTGGACTTCTAGCTAAGCGTCAATTCAGCACTTTCTTCCAAAAGAAGAAAGTTGCTCCCTCTCTTTTATCACTTTAATTGCCTTTTTGGTGCATTTTGTAGGTGCTGCAACCAGAACTCTGTACAGCGATCCAAATGTGGCTGCGTGAGAGGTCTTACAGATCGCTTTTCAATTTGTTCCCTAACTATTCCCACCACTGTCACCGTTATGCGTAATAACAATAACAAATCTTTTGTTGTTGTCATCCAAAGAGGCCAACTACCTCCAGGAACTGTTTTGTCCGTGTCTGAAGTATTGAGGGCATTGCCACTTGTCTTAGGGGCTTTTCAATATGCTGTTAATATCAGGCACTCCCCAGTCTGAAGCCTTACAGATGTTTTCAGCTATGCCAACTGGGGGATTGCTGGGGCCGCAGCCCACCACATCTGACGGAGCCAAGCTGGGAAAAGCTGCATTAAGGTTTAGCAGGTCCTTCGTGCATTCAAAATAGCACATCACAGAGCAAATTTGTAATGCTGAAGTGCAGAAAAACATGGATCCAGTCCAAGGGCAGGAAGCTGAAGACCCACAGCAACAAAACCAGCTGCTCTCAGCTCTCCCCTGCGGGTCTTTCGTACGCGGCAGTCGAACGAGGAACGGCACAGAGCTTGAACTTGTGGGGATGCACCACAGCCCCGATTGCAGGCTCCGAGTTCGCCTCCTTCACTCCCTCCGGCAGCCGGAAGGTGAAGGCTTTCGTGAGGCTGGCGAACAGAATGAAGAGCACAGGCCCGGGCACTCACGGCATCCTGCCGAAGGGAGACGGAGAAGGTGGCAAGTGCCTCATCACTGGAGCGCCAGAAGGACACCTATTCCATGTGCTGTGCTCAGGACGCAAAGCCAAGGCACGTGTGCTCAGGGCTCCCCAGGCCAGGCTCAGGAGCTCACGGAGCCCACGAGGAAGCACGGTGGCGACCGGCTCCGCCACTGCCTTGCCCGCACCGGAGACTCTCTCTCGGCAGCCGTTGCAGCTGCCTAGATCTACAGCCAGGGACGGGGGGAAAGAGACGCTGGTGCAAACTGGCATAGTAAATCCATGGCCCGCCCTCCCTCCCCACCCGCGCAGCCCCCTCCAAGCTCAGTTGCCGCCTCAGGGAGCAGCCCGCGCGGTTCTCCTGGCACCAGCTCTAAGAGGGTGTGTGGGGACCTGCCCTTCAGAGCCTGGGGAACAAGCGACCCTTGACACAGCATTCGGAACCAAGGCGGCTGTCCCAGTGAGGCCACTGGTCAGTCTATTGTACCCCATTTCCACAATCA